GGGGGGGGTGTTTGAGGACATGTCGGACACTCGGAGACACCACAAACGACAAGACAAAAATCTGCCATAGCGCAACAATCAAGGTTTCCCTCTGCACAGCAGCAGCTCCATTTCCATTTTCTCACAAGGTAGAATCATGGCTTTAAGCCCAACTAAAAGATTCCAGACTGAAAGGCGGTAGATCTTTTCTCCTGGGTGTCCAAAGAAATGCAAACTTCTGTGTGATATCATCAGATATTGAGGTGTTTTCCGCAGCATGTGTGCAGTCAGAGAGGAGACATTTGTGTTTAGTATAAAAGAAGAGCTAACCGCCAGTAAAGGTTTGATTTACCTTTTTTTTTTTTTTTTTTTTTTACAATGTGTTTTTTTTTTTACTTTCTTTGGATTTATCCCAGGCTGAAGGTTTTCCATTAAACTCATGTCCTGAAGTGATATAAATTCCTAGGTGAAAGAAAAATATTCGAGACATTTTTTCTTTTTAAATATTGGCAATTTTTAAAGACGAATCCCAGAGTTTTTTTTAATATATGTATATATGAATATATATATATGAATAAATAATTAATCTCCACAAGGCTGTTAGCATAGCCGCCTAACATCAAACAGGTTTGTGATGCAATATGTTGTCTTAAAACTGTTTAAAGCTCCTTAGAATGATTTGGCATGGCGCCGCAAAAAGAAGCAGGTAGGAAATCATGGAGCCGAATGTCATCAACGCACAGACAGAGTTGTGTATGTAAAACCTTCAGCGTGTGTATTTCCTGTGGTGTAGTTAGTCGCTGAGGCCTAGAAATGCTGTTGTTACAACTGTTCGTAAAAAAGAAGAAGAAGAATCTCCCAGAAATATGTGGCTCTCTGACATTGTGTATCTGCTTGGTTTTGTGGGAGAAAAAAAAAGAAGTATGATTAGAAGTATGATTGTGATCATCTCGACAGGCAACATTTTAATTAAGATATCAAGAGAACGTGTCATTATGAGACTTGATTCATAACCAGGTGACGTCCGGTTCATTTAGCTGACTCTGCTAATACTGATGACAACAGATAATTGTGGTTCATGTTGGAATGGTGTTGGTCTTCCATCATCCACCTGCCTTGTATTGTTTGTTTTTGTATGGTCAAAATGTATGTTAATAATTTTTATCGTTAATGGAAAACCTCCCCTGGCGTGCGTTGTGGTCTTTCCGCCGTCATCCCGGTCGGTTTCAACTTTAGAAGCAAAGAGAAAGTGTAGCCACATTTTGTCAAAAGCAAAATCTATAGACGGCCGTTCACAGTCTGTAGATTTTCCAACAGAAACTCAGACTAAATTTGAAGTTCCCTTAGTCTTACCTTTACCGTTCTGAGGTTTTAGAATAATTCTTTGAATCGTTTTTATTTTATAAGCAGGGATTGTGCTTGTCAGCATTTTTCCATCCCTGATTTTTGAGCATTTTTGACCAGGTTTTCTGTTTAAGCTGCAGGAAAATAGACATTTTATGCACCCTGATCTTTGGCAGATAAAGTAGACGGGATTGGACCGGTGATTGGGATGCAGTCACTGAGAAATTCCAGCTGAAGCCTAAACGCTGAGCTGTCCATTAAGAGTTCCCGTGTGTAATATCAGCTAAACTGCCTCCGTGCTACAAAGACAGAATGAAGAAATGGAGCAGCAGCACTTCTGCCTGCATATGTTTGGAGCAGGTTCAGGTTTGGACAAAAATATAATCCAAAAATATTTCCACGGTCGAGAAAACTGGTTTTACTCATTATGGTTCAAAACGAGTGAGATGTTGGAGTTAGTTCTCACCTCTTGGTAAGTTCTGCTCTGCAGAGGTGGAGCTGAGGAGGTCTCTGGGGGGGGGGGTTCTGGAACAATCCATGATCTGCTTTTGTCAGTTTCTGTGGAGTCGCTGGTTCTGAGGCGGCCGCCCGGAAACTGTGAAGCGTTTATCCTGCAAACACCAACAGAAAATGGGAATCATGATATGAATAGCTAAGGACGTGAGCTTCTTCAAGAAGTCCGGCCGGCTCGGCCCCTTCCTGGAGATGACCTCAGTGGTGATGCAGTCTGGTTATGACCGGCCGGACACCAGTGAGATGTTGGACGGAGCTGGTGATGACTCGGGGATTCACAGCTTTGGGTAGATTAATGCTAGTGACAAAAAAAAAAAAAAAAATCACCTGTAACCAGACATTAAACAATCATTGATTCTTCTGAGTTAAAAGAAAACGGTAAGAAAAAAGCAAACTATTTTGAATTTTGTTTTTTGGGGGTTTTAAAAATAACCCCTCGGAGTCATTTTTCTGAAGTATGCCTTTGGACACAAAAGCAGAAAGTCTTCTTGGGGGATGAATCCGCCCCAGAACTCTGATGTGGGAAATTTTTGATGGAGAAGGAAGCAGAAATACAGATAACATCCAAATAAAACGATTGAAATGTGCTTCCAGATTGTGGAACAGCTTCTGCCTCTTGAATTTAAGAACAATGAGGCTCTAGTGATATTGATATTGACTTTGAAGCTCAAAATTACTGTATACTTTCACATTGTATTTACATTTGTTTCTACATGCTACTATGAACATGCAGCTTTTTAATATATTCATGAAAATCCATATATAAATGTGTAATAAACAGAATTCTCTACTGATACCATACCTAGAGTGATACATCATGGTATCAGCACTGGAATTATTAATACAATCTCTAGTGCTACAACCCCCCCTCAATCTGGGTTTTAGTCCAAAGGAAAGCGGCTGCCTTCCCGGCTCTCCATCGGTCCCCTTTGAGCCTGCTGTACGGCCCAGATGGAAAGAAGAGACGAGAGAAGGACTGCTTCTTTACAGCGTGATTTTAATGCTGCCGGCACACCTTCCAGACAAATGTGAACAATAAATAACATGAAGCAAACTCCCATGATTCAGAATGTCCGATGTGGTGAGTGTCTGGAACCTGTCAGACGTGTTTCCATTCAGGCAAACGGTACTAACGAGCCGGTTTTCTTTTTGTCTCTCACAAAAAAAAAAAAAAAAAATTTAACAAAAAAAAAGGTGAGCTGAGGATACAGAAAGAGAATTCAGAACAAGTCCAAAAAAAGCCAGACAGCTTTTTAGTTGACAACATTAAAGCTTTTCCTTTGCTAAAAAAAAGGACTCGGCTCTGGTTGTCTTCACTTATTTCATCATCATTCAGTGAAAAAACCGGGACAAA